ATAGTGCTCTGTGAACACAAATTAGTTAGCATAAATCAGTTAAATGACGAAAAATTAGGTGTCTATTTACTTGTGACTACTCAGTGTATATATAATTATCCTGCATTAGTCTCCCATTATAAAGTGGACTTATAATGCTTGGAGATGGCTTGAATGGATAATGAAGAAAACTTTGATATAAATTTAACATAAAAGCAAATGTACAACGTTTCGACAAGGTTTTGTCACCATCATCTGATCGAAAGTGGACTTATGTTATGCTAGTGCAGAAATCAGTTTACCTTGAGAATATCACTAGAAAGTAACTAAGTTCCTATTTTTTACTTGACTGTTGTTTTGGATCATTCTTCCATGATATTGTTTGCATTTTCTCACGAGAAAGACTTTATGTAAAGGTAGGCAGCAGTCTTTACTCTGATTGATCAAGTGATACGTTGAGGATATAACATCCCTTTTTTTATAGGAATGAGCCATGGTGATGTAGGTAACACACACACACACCCCAAGAAAACTAGTATTGTAGAACTGTTTATATAATACTGTTACACCTCTGTGTTCGTTTGTTAATTTTCCGTAAAAATTCTTTCCGAAGAAACTTTATCGATACAAGTCCTTTCTTAAATAAAACCGGTTTATTCTTTCTCAATACAACTCTGCAATACACTTAATTTCCACGGTCACGCTATAACTTAAACAAACGCTATAATTCACAACGAACGAACGATTCACGCGCTTGACTCAGTTGTCGCTTCTATTTCTGTCTGCAATGCAATTACATTCCATTGTTGCCGTCACTTCATGGCGGTCTTATATACAAGAAATACTGCAAATCTAGTAAACACTCGAGCATTCAAGAACCTTCGAGAATATCATGGCGTGTTACTAGCGTCACGTGACTTTCGCTGTCGTAACAATCTATGTTTTCTCAGCATCAAACAGATCTTTCAACAATTTTCATAGACTTAGAGAGATCTACAGACTTTTGAAAGCTCCCATAAAGGTACTGTCCTTCATCAACACTTGTTATATTGAATAAAGATTGTTTTCACTGTCTTTTATATTGGGTCCAGTGTCTTACTTTACTGTAAACTCAGTCAAAATATAGAGAAATCAATTTAATTCCACAATACATTTTGTGCTCAAACCTCTTATTATCTCACTTATCCTACCCATTCACTCATAGCAAAATAAGTGAACTTGAGAATACCAAAGAATTAAAAGTGAACATTTGACTTGACTGAATTAAAGAAAAGAGATTGAATATAATTTTCAACAAAGTAAAATCAACCTTTATTTAATACTTCAATAATAACAAGTCAAAAAACTACTGCTCTTCCAGATCACAAAGAGAGACCTCGGAATTCATTGTCTGTTATTGAGACATCTATTTTCTAGACAAAGAGAATATGAAAGTACATATATAGAAATAATAACGTCATCTCTCTCAGAGTACAGCACTATCCACGTCATTATTTATCTCAAAGGAAAGTAGGGAAAATTTAACTTCCAGGTATTTCTAAGCTTAGTCATAGAAAATAAATATCTAACAACACTGTCGGTAAGGAACGTCTAAAAATAGTTAAGTGGGGCACACACTTTAATGTTTTAAGGTTTATTTGTTTGTTTGTTATTAAGCACAAAGATATACAAAGTGTAATTAGGGCATATGAAATAAAGTCAGTATTGCACAAAATTGATTTACCATATGTGAAAATTTGTAAGTGCTCTAAAACAGATATTTCTGAGAAAGGGTGAAATTCCCAAAATGTGTCAGTACTCAAATGCGTATACAACAAAGGATTACTAAAATAGAAGAAAAAATATACAAATTTTTCTTGTATAAGCTCTCACAATGAGCACAATTATAGATTTCATTTGACATGTTACAAAAACTGCTCGATTTTCCACATAATATTCATAGTTTCGATGGTTTTTGCCGAACCAAATATATATTAAACAGGTAAGTAGATTAAAAATTTCGGAATTGTAAACTTATCTCAGATGTCTTTTTTTGCTTCATATTCCCTTGAGTGGCAAAAAAAAAGGAATGATACGCACTAATATTAGGACGGGTACCGATCACAACGCATCAACCGTTAAAACGAGTCATTTTGTTATATCAAGCTTTATTGACCAAACATACAAAATCAAATATGAGACTACCCAATTAGTCTAATAATGATTGACATTGAAGCTGCTAAATAACTTTTCCTCGTGATTCTGTTGTCAATAAAAATTAATCCCGTTAGGTCATTTATTGCTTCATTTGAATAATATTTAATTATCACTTAGATTGTTGGAGTCGTGACGTAGTGTTTTCTGACAGTACGATTGAAAGCATGAGGATTGAACGACGAGCAGATAAAATAAGTCTCGGTACTGAGTATTATAGGCAGAATGTGAGTTTTTTGTTTAGATAGGATATCAGGTCACGTTTGGGGTTTGCACAGTTGGGAAGAATCAGTTCGTCGCTACTAAATAAATAAACTTTCTTCGGTGACACATATACACCTTCTTTCGCTTTGTATATATATATGTATATATCCACATATACTGTAAAATATATATGAGTTGATGAGATTAATGCCCTGTAAGGGATAGTAGATATGGAGAGGTTAAGCCTTCCCAAGACTTTTATATGTGCCACCCCTGCTGAGTACCGATGAACACTGGCAGAATTTCACCCCAACTTCTGAGTAAGTTAAGAAATGTTGATAAAATAAATAGTTTTCTTTTCTAAGCTAAAAGAGAAAAAGAAAATGTAGTATTTGTTCCAGTACAAGAAAGTTCCACGATCGACCGATGTGCATATCATGCATCACTGGTATAAGGCGTTAAATGTCGTAATAATTAATACCTTCAACCGAGGTTTTAGGTGTTGTAAATAGGATTTTGGGTTGTATCTAGAGAAACACTGAATATAAGACTAAAGAGGATATAATTTCTTTGTACAGGTCACTGGTTAGCCCTTAGTTGGAGTACTGTGTTCTTAGCTTAAAAAGGATTTGGAATGGTTGGGAACGGTTCAGAGGGTTACAAGGATGATACCTGAGATGGAAGGTTGTCATATGAGGACAGGTTAAGATCTCTGAAATTATTTTCTTTTGAAAAAAAAAAAGAGTTAGATGGAATCTGATTGAGGTGTTCAAAGTTATTAATGGAATAATTAGCATCGATGTTGCCCCCCCCCCACCCCAGTGGCATAGCGGTATGTCTGCGGACTTACAACGCTAGAATCCGGGTTTCGATAGCCCATTGTGTAGCTTTGTGCTTAATTATAAACAAACAAACAAGCATCGATGTTTTATCTTTGTTTTCGATTTTAATTGTGAGGCTGATATAGCAAGAGAACACAAATATATATTTTGGCAGGGTAGGAATCATCTTTATCTCAGAAAGTTTTACTTTTTTAACAGGGTGATTGCATGGCATTTGGGAGCTTTTAAGAAGGCTCTATAAATATTTAAATGATCAGGACTGTTCTGTTGTTTTTAATGTTATGTTGTGAGTTTTGGTATTGAGTGCATCAACAGCAGCAGTGTGCGATCTAAAAGCTATTATGTTCTTACTAGAATCACATGTAAAGCTAGTAAAGAAAGATTTCCTAAAAAATATTATCACTTCTACTACATTGTAATGTCACGCAAAGAATCGACCTAAAAGTATTAATTTCCTGATTTGTTTTTAATATTTGACATCTTTATAGTATGTTGTAATACAATTTTGAATTTAAATATAAATGAAAATAATTATTATTTGCTTTCATCTCGTATGATCTCGCGTGATATTTTGTGACTACGCAGTAAAAACGAATTTGTAAGGCAGCTGTAAGAGTTAGGCTTACGCTTTGAAACTGGAAGATTTAGGCTTGTAATTTGGCACATAAATATTGTTACTGTAGAGTGCTGGTAAGAAATAGAGTATACGGTTTTCTTATGAATTTATAATTTTATTTTAATGTAAAGTATTTTGAATAGAAAGTAGAGTCTGAAAGTTTAACAGTATCTAAAACCTAGTTTTTATAATCCGTAATTGAAAGTGAAACTCTTGGTCTCCACCGTAACACTAACTTAAATTATTGAAATTATCATGTTGTAAGCGTTGAGTCTGACTGTGAGTGTGACACTACACTACAATTTACAAATCGATCAATAACATTAGTCATTAGAATTAGGTGTGTAGTTTAAAAATAACAGTAAGATCGGTGAACAACATAAATTAGACTCAGCGCATTATTCTTTAGGCCTAGCTGTAAGAATAATGCTGTTTTAATTTATTATTTTAAATTTATACTATTATTACTAGTTAGGGTTACCAGATTTTCAAATCATAAAACTGGAAGTGGAACACACTTTGATGTAGGAAAATTATAAATAATCAGCTATGCAAATAATAAGTACTATCAAATAACATGGGTATTTTTATTTAGGTTGTTGCCACTACAGATTTTTTTTTAAGTTTAAGCAACATGTTTGCTCTAAGATTCTGAGGAATTGTCATTCAACGATCCATGTTCACATTTGAGTTTTTATACTGAAATGCATTACTATTACTGGTGTAAACAATTATCAGGATAATTTGTTGCTGGTTTCTTACTAGCGTGTGAGTTACATTATTGGGGAAAGGCTAGCATATTTTGTTGCCTGTTACTGTTAATGAAGACGACTATGAATTTTTATTAAGAATGAACCATTTATTGGGACTTACTGATTTTATTAATTATCTTAAATAAAATGGCAGTATTCCTTGTTATATATTTTTGTCAAAATTGGCCCAATAGTTTATCAGTTTATACATTTGGAAGTCATTGAATGTACTATTTTTTTTCTGTTATTCCTCTTTTAAAGTGCATTTATAGATGAGGATGTTCAGTGACACTGCTGAAATCCAGGGGAAAAAAGTATAATACATTAGGCACAATTAAAATATTTAGAAAAAAAAATACTACTTCATTAATTTAATGAATGAATTTGGTAAACAAATTACATTTTCAATTAAAACTTGCAAGTTGATTGTTAATTTACTATGCCCTTAAGTGGTTCAGCTGTAAGTCTGTGGGCTTATGATTTAAAATTCAAGTTTTGATGCATTTGGTGAGCACAGTGTAGATAGCCCAACAAATAATTTAGTGTATGATATGTACAAAAAAATTAAAAATTTACATATATCATTTTGTGCTCCATACTACAGACTTTATCCCATTAAACAATATAAACAGTTGCTATACCAGTACTATGTTACTCTCATTTTAAAAGAACTCCATGGGTCATCTTGAACTTTAATATAATGGTAAACTTGAGAAATTAAAAGGAAAATAGTGTAGGTGTTTAATGTTTAATAGTTTTGCTAACACATGAAACAGTTTAAATTTTAACTTTTAAAGATAAGTGGTATATTTCATTTTACTTTATACTGCACTGATAATGTGTTACACCATCCTACTTTAAACAAATGCTTAATGCTTCACAACATGAAAATTACACATTGGCTGTGGACAGCATATGTCATTTGCATTCAAGTTTCCAACTGTCTTTTTTTTTTGGTCAAATGCAAAATCATGTGCTCAGTGACTTGTGTAAGAGTGACATGATGTCTGCTGCAGCCTATCTTATTGCTAACTTTAGAGTAAAGGATAACAAAGATTATGATGAATCATTCTGAGTTATGTGATAATTTCCTTACTCAGTTGAACAAATTTGCATGTGTTGGTTCTCTGTTATCAGAGGCTCAAAGTACTGAATAAAAATGTAAATAAGCTAGAATTCTGATGAAAAAGAAAATTGGGACACTTAGGCATCGTAAAAGGATCTTTTGGGATACAACATTCCAAATAGGATTGTTCTGGCTAATCTAAAATGTATGGTCATTCTACTACTAGTACTTCATGTCATAATTTGGATCTAAGTTTCAAATGGACAGCAGCTGCCTGTTGTAGAAACCTACAAGTGTAGAGGATGGCATTTCGAAAGTCTTCCACCTTTTGTCTTCAGGTCCAATAACTTTTTAATGACAAGGCAGTTTGAGGTGTTTTTTTCTGTGACTAACCAACCAATGAAAACTTGGTCAACTAAGACTCTTCTCACCAACTAACGGTTTGGTCGACTATTAGGGGATAGACCTAGATTCAGTGCATGAGCCATATCTCAGCAAAAAGAAAAGAGAGGAGGTTCTTATTTTGTATTCTAGCTTGTCATTATTGGTAATTTAAGTTTCTAATTCGTACAAAACTATAGACTTAGTATTTTGACATCACAAACATCTAATTTGAACCAGTGCTGCATTCAACATGCCACGTGACACACAAAAAATCAATGTTTAACTGTATTTTTATAATATTTACTTTTAAACTAAGAAACTAAATAATGTATAATACTAAAATTTGAATTATAATCTACAGTTTGATATAAACTTATTAACATAAGTTCATGAAATGGTAGTTCAATAAAATTTTGAATATGACTCAACAAACATGATGACATGGCCTTTGACCCATGAGAGGGTTAATAGATTGGCTGCTTGCAATGAGGAAGCAGATGATCAAGTGATCTACATAGTGTGAGGGCATTTTCAAATGTACTGATAAAGTTGTTTATAGTGGGAGCACAAGAACACTAGGACCAGAATTTGTTTGCCATGTGCTAAAGTACAGGACATTATAGAGCATATTGTCAGTTCAGCTGCTGGTGCCAAAGAGCTTTCAGTTTTTGTAGTGCATGTGATGCCAAAAATTGTTAATCATAATAGCTTCATAAATAACACTTTGATACATTCAGTGGAGCGCCTCAGGTAAGTGCTTCTGATACAGTTACTTACCTCCACTGCCCTCTAGTGTGCGAGGTTTTGCTTGCCACTAGCCTTGAAATTCACACCTAGCATGCAACAGTCCTCCACCAATAAGAGTCCAACAGACCCTCCTATTAATGGTTGGAGATGGCTTGAATGGGTAATGGATATCCAGATATCCATGTCTTCATAGATGCCTCAGGATGGGGTATGCACTGCAATACACAGGAGATCTCAAATGTTGGTGTCAGGAGGAATTATGTCTTCACATCAACCTTTTGGAACTCCTTGCTGTTTCTCCAGTGAGGGTTCGTTTTCTGTCATCTCTGCAGGGCATACAATTATAATTCATTCCAACAACTCAGTGGTTGTCTCTTACATCACCAGTTA